AGCACAGAAAACTTATTCAACAAAGGAGAGACCAAAAGTGACAATATGAAGGTAGGAAACACAACAGTAGTAAAAATGAGTATTTCTGTAAAAAAAAAAAAAAAAATCAGTCAAGGAGCTCACAAAATAAAAGGATAAAAAGGTATATGTTATCATATACCTAAAATGTAGGAAAGAGAGGAGTAATGAATGGGCTCAACTTAAATGACCACCAACTTCACATAAGCTGCTACATGTAGAAGATGTTATATACAAACCAAATGGTAACCACAAATCAAGAACCACTAAAAATATGCCAAGAATAAGGAGAAAGAAATTATATCACTAAATATGTCACTAGAGAAACAAATCACTAAAAAACCCCAGCAAACCACGAAAAAGAGAAAGACAAAGGATCACAGAAAATCTTCAGAAACAACTATAGAAGAAGTAATATAATGGCAATATAAATAATTACTTTGAATGTAAATAGACGAATTACTTCAATCAAAAGATATAGAGAGATAGAATGGATTTTTAAAAAAAGACCCATCCATATGCTATCTATTAGAGACTCACTTCAGATCTAAAGTCAGCTGCAGATTGAAGGTGAGGAATGGAGAAACACTTATCACAAAAATGGATGTCAAAAGAAAGCCAGGGCAGCAATACTTATATTGGACAAAACAGACTTTAAAACAGAGTCTAGGGGTGCCTGGGTGGCTCAGTGGGTTAAGCCTCTGCCTTTGACTCAGGTCATGATCTCAGGGTCCTGAGATCAAGACCCACATCGGGCTCTCTGCTCAGCAGGGAGCCTGCTTCCCCCTCTGCCTCTCTGCCTACTTGTGATCTCTGCCTGTCAAATAAATAAATAAAATCTTTAAAAAAATAATAATAAAAAAAATAAAAGAGAGTCTAGAATGAGAAACAAAAAAGAACACTATATAATCATAAAGGGGACTATCCAACAAGAAGATATGACAGTTGTAAATATTTATGCAACCACCTACATAAAAGTTCATAACAAACATAAAGGAACTAACCAATAATAACACAATAAGGGTAGGGGACTTTAACACCCCCACCTAGGTAAATGGACAGATTCAACAAAAAATTCAACAAGGAAACAATGGCTTTGGGTGACACACTGGACCAGATGGCCTTAACAGATACATGCAGAACATTCCATCCTAAATCAGCAGCAAACACATTTTTTTCAGGTGCATGTGGAACATTCTCCAGAACAGATCATATATTAGGCCACAAAACAAGTAGTAACAAAATCAAAATCAAAGTCATACCATGCATCTTTTCTGACCACAACACTATGAAACTAGAAATTAACCACAAGAAAAATCTATTAAGACCACAAATACATGGAGGTCAGATAACATGCTACTAAACAATGAATGGGCCAACCAGTAAATAAAAGAAGAAATTTTAAAAATACATAGAAACACATAAAAATAAAATCACCACAGCCCAAAACTTTTGAGATACAGCAAAAGCAGTTCTAAGAGGGAAGTTTATAGCAATACATGCTTACCTCAAGATGCCAAAAAAGTCTCAAATAAACAACTTAACCTTACAACTAAAGGAGCTAGAAAAAAGAACAATAAATAAAACCTAAAACCAGCAGAAGGGAAGAAATAATAAAGATCAGAGCAGATATAAATGGTACAAAAACTAAAAAACAAAAACAAAACCCAGCTCAGTGAAACCAGAAGCTGGTTCTCTGAAAAAATAAAAAATAAAACATATATCAATAAAACTGATAAACCTCTAGCCAGACTTCACAAGAAAAAAAGAGAGAAGGGACTCAGACAAAATTACAAATGAGAGAGAAGAAATAACCAACACCACAAAAATACAAACAATTATAAAAGAGTAGTATGTAAAACCATACGTCAACAAATTGGGCAACCTAGAAAAACGGATAAATTCTAGAAACATATAAACTACCAAAAGTGAAATAGAAAGAAATAGAAAATTTGAACAGATAACCAGCAAAGAAATTGAATCAGTAATCAAACTCCCAACGAACAAAAGTCCAGGACCAGATGGCTTCACATGTAAATTGTACCAAACAACAAAAAAATCCTAAAATCTGTATGGAATCACAAAAGACCCCAAATAGTCAAAGCAATCTTAAGAAAGAAAAGCAAAGCTGGAGGCATCACAATTCCAGACTTCAAGTTATATTACAAAGCTGTAGGAGTCAAAACAGTATGGTACTGGCACAAAAACAGACATATGAATCAGTGGAACAGATTAGAAAACCCAGAAATAAACCCACAATTATATGGTCAATTAAACTTTGACAAAACAGGAAAGAATATCCAATCGGAAAAAGATTCTCTTCCACAAATGATGGTGGGAAAACTGCACAGCTACCTGCAAAAGAATGAAACTGGACCAGACACAAAAGTAAACTCAAAATGGATTAAAGACCTAAATGTAAAAACCTGAAACCATAAAAATCCTAGAAGAGAATACAGATGGTAACAACTTCGACACCGGCTGTAGCAACTTCTTTCTAAGTATGTCTCTGAGGCAGGAGAAACAAAAGCAAAAATAAACTCTTGGGGGACTACATCAAAATAGAAAACCTCTTTCACAGCAAAGGAAACAATCCATAAAACTAAAAGGCAAGAAACAGAAGATATTTGCAAATGACAAATCCAATAAAGGGGTAGTATCCAAAATACATAAAGAACTGATACAACTCAACACCTAAAAAACAAGTAATCCAATTACCAAATGGGCAGGAGACATGAAGAGACACTTCTTCAAAGAAGACACACACATTGCCAATAGACACATGAAAAGATGCTCATGATCACTCATCACCAGAAAAATGCAAATCAAAACTACAAGGAGATCACCTCCCACCTTTCAGAATGACTAAAATAAAAAACACAAGAAATATCAGCTGTTGGTGAGGAAGTAAAAAAAAAGGACCCCCCCCCCCCCCCCCCCCCCCCCCCCCGCACTGTTGGAAATGCGCACTGGTGCGGCCATTGTGGAAAATAGTTGAAGGTTCTTCAAAAAGTTAAAAGTAGAACTACCCTGTGATAAAGCAATGGCACTAATGGGTATTTACCCAAAGAATATAAAAACACTAATTCAAAGGGATGCATGCACCCCAATGTATACTATAGCATCATTTGCAATAGTCCAATTATAGAAGCAGCCCAAGAGTCCACTGACTGATGAATAGATAAAGAAGATGTAATATATGTATCTATGTCTATACATGCAGTAGAATATTATTCAGCCATAAAAAAGAATGAAATCTTGCCATTTGCAACAACATAGATGGAACTAGAGAGTAATGCCAAGAGAAATAAGAGTCCGAGAAAGACATATACCATATGATTTTACTTATATGTGAATTTAAGAAACAAAATGAATGAGTAAAGGGCCAGGGGGAGGGGGAGGGGAGACAGAGAGGGAGAGATAGAGAGAGACAAACCAGGAAGCAGACTCTTAACTCTAGAGAACCAAACTGATGGTTACCAGAAGGGAGGTGGCAGGGGGGATGGGTGAAATAGGTGATGGGGATAAAGGAGTGCACCTGTGATGAGCTCCAGGTGATGTATGGAAATGCTGACTCACTATATGTATACTTGAAACTAATATAACACTATATGTTAACTAACTGGAATTAATATAAAAACTTAAAATATATATAACATATATATATATAAAATGTATATGTAAAACTTAAAAAGAGAGTGACACCTTCAAAAGTTGAATTCAACTAATTTAATATGAAAGTCAATAAATAGACAATTAAAAACAGGATTGTAATAAACACTGTTTGGTAGCAGGAGAGAATGATTAACTCATTCTTTGAGATAATTTATAAGAAAATATCAGAACCCTAACTCTCTCTTCACTGGAAGCTAGAATACTGCAGTATTACCACTGAAGTTGGGATTTTTAAAAAAAGAGAGAGAGAAAGGTCCACCTTACCTAGTAACATGGTAACGGCTACCACAAGCATATGAGTACTTCATTTTCAGATGGTTGCTTTACCACATGTTAATATAGATTAAGAAGTATATTTATCTTGAATGGAAAATGGGATTTGACCTATTAAGACAATTATGATTGACAGGGCCTGTCTGCAGTGCTCGGTTGAGAATGATTCTGAAGTTAATCCAGACTCAGCAGAACTGTTATGAAGGATTATTAATGTCCGCTCTGAGTGAAAAAGGGAAAATAAGGAGGATATGTACTATGTACTTGACATCTTTGATATCTTGCATTTTCTCTGAAAAATCGTAGGCCATTTGCAGGACTCTACCAAAAAATGATGAATATCACTCATTTAATATTAAAGTCAACTATGACCCAATTGATTAAGGGACAGGATTACAAGGAACACTGGGGAAATCTATCCAGGCCATGAGCCATTCCTTCTTTTCTCAGAAACATTCCCTGATCCAGGAGGCTGGGATCCTCCTTCCCTTGTTACAAGCGACTGATCCCTGAGTGGATCCTAATCCAACGCGGGGTAACAAAGTTTCTCTCTTGGGAATTCAGAATTGGGGCTTCATAAGCAGCCAGTTTTGTTTTAATACATGTGGAACTGCAACATCTGCACAATATGCAGATGTAGCGTTGAGAGAGAGCAGCACAGCGACCGCTCCGTCTGTGGGGAGAGGAAGAAAGACAATCTACAGAGCCAGAGAACCCAGGGAAGTCAGGAGAATATTCTCTGGATTCCTGAGAACCTTCCTGTCCCTACAGTCTTAGATTCTCTTTTCTTTAAGCCAGCTTGAATTGATATTTTTATTTATAGTCAAATGGTATTAACTAATAAAGGATAATAGGGTTGCAAAAGGGTAAGAGAAAACATTCTCTTAGAAGAGGAAAAAAAATATATAAAGGAATAAATAGAAAGAAAAATCAAATTACTTCTTAACCTACATTAAAATGATGGTAAAAATTAATTCCTTCAGTTTTGTACCCTCTTCTTAAGAGTATATGTGATAAACTTAACAAAACCTGACCTTTGTTTCTTCTGTCCTCACTGCATCCAGCAGATAATGCAGAAGCTCCTGACTGTCCTGTTGCTGGAAACTTTTAAATCGAGGGGCCCTATGATTTAAAAACAAAACAGGAAACGAAAAAAGATCATTTCATCAACAATATATTACTATCATCTAAAATCATTTTTAAATAGCATCTAGTCAAAGATTCAATGTAGTCCTTTTTCTACTAAGTAAAAAGACCAGATGTGGCCACTGTTCCAATTAGGATGAGATCTTAAGTACACAGAGAAGAATATGGCTATCATTTATCAAGCAACTACTACATGCATGCACAGTACATATGTGAAGCTTTATATCTGACAAGTCATCAAATCCTCAAACAAGTTCGGAATGCACTATTTTCTCCGGCTTATATAAGAGGGCTTAGAGGGATTATTTACAGAATTTGCAAGGTCACACAGCAAACAAGCAAACAAAAAGTATTCAAACCCAAGCCACTGTGATCTATTATCTTCCCACCTTGAATAACCAAAAGAAAAACAAGAGGTTAATTATATTAAAATAAAGAACTACAATCTGGTATCTCTGTGAATGTATTTATTTTAAGGATTTGACCAATTAGATTTCCTTATATTAATCAAAGGATCAGGTGCTGTTCATGGAGACTTCAACAGAGCAAATATTTAGGTGATTTCAGTAACCTTAAAAAGTAGTATTTTCTGCAATAAACTCCAGTACCAAAATGAGCATTTTGCCTTAAATAAAAATAAGTACTAACTTTAGATAGTGCTTGAAGACGAAGAAAGAATTCTGTCTAAATAATATAAAAGAATAAGAATATGTTGTGGTAGTACGAGTCTACAATGGTCTCATTAGGATATGTATAACATATCTCATTTGACATGCACAGCAGTGCTGTTAAGAAATTCATAATTAATATGAATTGTTTTACACTTGAGAAAACTGAAGAACAAGCTAAGTGCCACTGACCTAAATCCAGATCTTTTGGTTCTTAAGTCCCATACTTTAAGCATTATTCCTCATCTCATAATAAACATTCATGCCAGTAAAGCACTACCGTAAGTCCCTGGTACTAAAAAGCTATCTGAAATATTATCTAGCCTATAACAGGAGCCATAATTTCAGTTACTCACTCTTGTTAAGAAGTAGCAAAAGCAGCAAGATGTTGAGACTTTGATTTACTCCCCTTGTAGGCTTCCCTTTCTGCATATGGTAGATATTGTTCACCTTCTAGATCAGAGTTGAGGACAGAAACCAAGAGGGACACAAATCCTAACCCCATGTGGGCTTCCATGGCTGGAATCCATATAAGGCTGAAATTGCATAACATGACATTTGTGCTGTAGGGATTAAGGAAGGTCTGTGGAATGGAAGAAGGCTGCAAGGGGAAACCAGGGAATCCTTCAGAGATCCTCGTCAGCCAGGTGGCAGGTAGGACGACCAGTCTCTGGCTTTGGAAGCAGATGCACAGGATGGAAATTGCTCGTGAACAGAGGAGGAACATTCTCTACCACATCTCTACCTATAGCTCCATCTCAACTGTGCACAAAGCAGTACCGCTTTCTAAACCACTCAAGAAAATTTGCTAAACTTAGATTTTTTTCTTTCTTCTTCTACCTAGGACTGGGGTAAAAAATTCTGTGATGACATATAGAAGCTTTAATGGAGCCTATCTGAGCTACCAATACCAAATTTAAAGAGAAAAAGAGAAAAATCAACAAACATATGAAGAGAGTCACCTATTCAAAATGAGAAGTCCTGAAGATCTTCTACATAAAACTACCACAGCCAGTAAGTGAACTGAGCAAGGGAACAAAAACGACATCAATATGCAAAACAAGATCAATATACAGAACTCAAGTACATTTCTGTATATCAGGAATGTACAAATGGATGTTGAAATTTTTCTAAAGTACCAATTTATAATAAATAGTATTTAAAAATATTACCTACTTGAGGTAAATATAACAAGATAGTGCAGGGTTTGTAAGCTGAAAAACTACAAAGTTGATGAGGAAAATCAAATACCTAAATAACTGAAAAGATATTTCATAATCATCATTGGAAGACTCAACATTGTTAAGATGTCCTCTCCAAATTGATCTCCAAATGCAATCCCAATGAACAAACTGATTCTAAAATTCACATAAAAAAGCAAAGGACCTGGAGTAGTTTAAAAAAAAAAAAAAAGGGAAAGGAAAGGAAAGTTTAGCACTCACACTATCCAATTCAAAGACTTACTATGAGGCTACAGTAATGAGACAGTGCAGAACTGGGGTAAAGGTGGACATTCAGATCAGTGGAACAGAGTCCAAAAACAGACACAAGGTATATGGCTTAAATCTTCACCAGATTTTTTAAAAAATTACTTTTCTTAATATAAATTTCTTTTTAACATAAACATAGTAAAGCAAATGCAATTTGCTTTGATCCAATAATTCTATTCGTCCTACAGATGTATTTTCACAAGTGCAATACACACACACATTAAATCAAATATGTCATTTCCACATGTAATATGGAAAAATGTAAAAAAGATATTAAGCAGAGGCGCCTGGGTGGCTCAGTGGGTTAAGCCTCCCAGGGTCCTGGGATTAAGCCCTGCATCAGGCTCTCTGCTCAGCAGAGAAACTGCTCCCCACCCCCACACCCTGCCTGCCTCTCTGCCTACTTGTGATCTCTGTCTGTCAAATAAATAAATAAAATCTTTAAAAAAAAAATAAAGATATTAAGCAAAACAAGCAAGTTGAAAACAATTTGTATATATGTCTGTGCCTGCACAAATCACTTTTGATTTTTTTTTATTTATTTTTTAATTAAACATATAACGTATTTTTATCTCCAGGGGTACAGGTCTGTGAATCGCCAGGTTTACACATTTCACAGCACTCATCATAGCACATACCCTCCCCAATGTCCATATCCCCACCACCCTCTCCTATCCCCCCTCCCCCCTAGCAACCCTCAGTCTGTTTTTTGAATTTGAGTCTTTTATGGTTTGTCTCCCTCCCAATCCCATCTTCTTTCATTTTTTCTTTTCCTACCCCCCAATCCCCCACATTGCATCTCTACTTCCTCATATCAGGGAGATCATATGATAGTTGTCTTTCTCCGATTGACTTATTTTGCTATCGCTTTTGATTTTTGATCAGAGTACAAATAGTACTCTAAATTTTTATCATGAGCACCTATTATTTTTTAAAATTTGTCAATCTTCATAAAACCAACAAAAAAAGGGGGCGCCTGGGTGGCTCAGTGGGTTAAAGCCTCTGCCTTTGGCTCAGGTCATGATCTCAGGGTCCTGGGATCAGGCCCCACATCAGACTCCCTGCTCTGCAGGGAGTCTGCTTACCCCTCTCTCTCTCTGCCTGCCTCTCTGTCTGCCAAATAAATAAATTAAATCTTAAAAACAACAACAACAACAAAAAGATACAAAACAGTTATTTTTGGCAGAGCCAAAAACAAATTTCGAAAGCACAAAGAATCCTAAAAACTTTTTAACTCTGTGAGGCACCAAAGTCTCTGAGACTTTTCCAGGATTTTTTTTTGTTGTTCTTTGGGCTTTGAAAAAAACAGCATTTGCCAACCAAATGAAACACATAATAAACCCTCTATATTTTGTACTATATTCAAAATACCATGGCACATTTTGCTACGTGAAATAAGCCAGTCACAGAAAGACAAATAGCGTGATTCCATTTATATAAGCAATCTAAAATAGGCAAAGTCATTGAATCAAAGAGAGGACAATGGTGTCCAGCAGGGGCTGGACTGAAGAGGAAATGAATATATAGACATAATCAATGGACATAAAGTTTCACTCAGGCAAGACCAACAAGCTCTAGAGATCTGCTGTTTAGCATTGTACTTATGTCAACAATGTACACTTAAACATTTTTAAGAAGGCAGAGCTCATGCTAAGCGTCCTTTCCACAATTAGAATTTTTTTTTTAAGGATTTTATTTATTTATTTGACAGAGAGAGATCACAAGTAGGCAGAGAGGCAGGCAGAGAGAAAGAGGAAGGGAAGCAGGCTCCCTGCTAAGCAGAGAACCTGATGCGGGGCTCAATCCCAGCTCATGACCTGAGCTGAAGGCAGAGGCTTTAACCCACTGAGCCACCCAGGCGCCCCAGCTTACCTAGTTTTACAGTGGCAAAGCCACGATTCAAATAGATGTCTGTCCTGATTCAGAAACCCATGATGTAATAACAAAAAGTAAGAAAATTACAGAATTATAAAACCTGAAAGGTGCTGTAATAGGCCATCTCAATCTAGTTTTCTTATATTTACTTTTATTTTATTATTTTGTACATACACTGTACCCCCGATGTGGGGCTCAAACTCATGACCTCAAGATCAAGAGTCGTATGCTCTGCCAACTGACCCAGCCAGGTGCCTTCTTTATTTTTATTTCTTTATTTTTTAAAAGATTTTATTTATTTATTTGACAGAGATCACAAGTAGGCGGAGAGAGAGGGAGAGGAGGAAGAGGCTCCCCACAATTAGAATTTTTTAAAAAGAATTAACATTGGTAAGTTCTAGGAGATAAAATACAATATAATACTATGCACAAATAACTAGCTTAAATTAAAATGCAATTTTAAAGCCTGGAGATAAGACTAGCTCATGAGCTCCATGACAGTATCTATTTTTAATATATTACACAATGTACCCTTAGATTCTAGTAAACACCTGACACAAATGAGCTCTCAAATTCTTTAGATGAAAGAATTTATGAAAGAACTAAAGTTAAGTCAGGTCCTTTATGGTATGTATTTATTTCTGGCACACAAGGACTTTGGTTTTGAACATATAGTGCTATCTTGAGAAATTCACTTAAATTGTATTTACATCGAAGCTCGTCTTTAAAACTAAAGAAGGGGGAACCTGGGTGGCTCAGTGGGTTAAGCCTCTGCCTTCGGCTCAGGTCATGGTCTCAGGGTCCTGGGATCGAGCCCCGCATCGGGCTCTCTGCTCAGCGGGGAGCCTGCTTCCTTCTCTCTCTCTCTCTCTGCCTGCCTCTCTGCCTACTTGTGATCTCTGTCTGTCAAATAAATAAAAAAAAAACTAGGTAAAAAAAAAAAAAACTAGGTAAGCTGCTCAACTTCTGTGAGTCTAAGTTTCTTTATTTATAAAATGGGGATAAACAAGCACTTATACAGTGTTATGAGATATAATTTACATAAAGCACAGAGCTACAAGTAAATAAATATTAGTCCTTTCTCTTGAGAATCTAGACAATAATAGCGATGTTAGAGTAAGAGTGAAAACTACTCATACTAAGTGATATGTTAGAATTTCACAACACACTGATACGTTAGAATTTTACAACTCATTATTATTTATATCAAGAACTTAGATGCACCCACTTCTGACAAAGCTGATTAAAAAGAACTTTAGGAGAAAGTGGTCCTTTTTCAGTCTCCTTCATGCTGTGAAGAAACACCAACAAGGCTGAGGTCAATGGTCCAGGGCTTGAAAGTTCCACTATTAATGGGTCCTTTAAAAACATGATCAACTCTATGTCAGAAATATGCAATTTTAAAATTAAATATTATTAAAAATCTAGGAGTTACATTTTGCTTAAATGAACTAAGTTGCCTTAAGTGTATTAAGAAACTTCATTCCTACATATATAAAATGAATATTAAAAATGGAAATTGGAATTAAAAGCCTTACCTTCAAAAACACAGGTATTCTCATACCTCTGCCCCTTATTTAATAAAACTATTAGCTTAAAAGTAAAATCACCAATATTTAGTTGCTCATTACTGTCCCTTAATGTGCTCTCTTCTAGAGGCGCCTGGCTGGCTTAGTCAGGAGAGCATGCAATTCCATCTCAGGTTGAAACCCACGCTGGGTGTAGAAATTACTTAAAAAAATAAAGTCTTAAAAAAAACTGTTCTCCTAAAAGCAAAATTACTGATCTACTTGATATGTGTACTTTACATATGATCACAAATTACATTTGTTAGCAAAACTCCATACCCTTCTTTTCCCCAAATAGTTTACTAATAAAATAAGGAATAGGAAATTATGTCACAAAATTGGTACATCACTCTCCCTCTTTACCAGGGAGAGTCATAAAGCTTAACAAAAGCAGCTAGAATTGTGTGAAGAAGAAACCCACTTTATTCTAGAATTTTTAGTAACCCCCTCTCCTTATAATAAAAAACAGATCCCAAGTATAATCTTAGGACATTACAGAACATTATTTTTTAAGACAATATCAAATACATTATCTCATTCATGTATTCATAACATACATGTATATTTCATATATACATATATATTACATAATACATATATATATTTCATACCCACTATCCTTAAAAATCTATCATCTGACTAAAACCACAGAAAGGACAGGCTATAATTCTTCATAGCTTCTGAATACAAAAGTGCTCTCTGCCGTGTTGAAGACATGAACAGACATTTCTCCAAAGAAGACATCCGGATGGCCGAAAGACACATGAAAAGATGCTCAACATCACTCATCATCAGGGAAATGCAAATCAAAACTACAATGAGATATTACTTCATGTCTGTCAGAATAGCTAAAATCAAAAACATAAGAAACAACAAGTGTTGGTGAGGATGTGGAATAAAAGGAAACCTTGTGCACTCTTAGTGGAAATGCAAACTGGTGCAGCCATTGTGGAAGACAGTATGGAGATTCAAAAAATTAAAAATAGAACTACAATATGATCCAGTAATCACTCTACTGGCTATTTACCTAAAGAATACAAAAACACTAATTCAAAGGGATACATGCACCCCTACATTTACTGCAGCATTATTTACAATAGCCAAATTACAGAATCAGCCCAAGGGCCCATCAGTTGATGAACAGATAAAAAAGATGTGGCGGTATACACATATAATGGAATATTATTCGGCCATAAAAAAAGAATGAAATCTCACCATTTGCAACAACATGGATGGACCCTGTGGACATTATTATAAGTGAAATAAATCAGACAGAGAAAGACAAATACCACATGATTTCACACATGGAATTTAAAACAAAACAAAACCCCCAAAAACCAGCTCATAGAGAACAAGGGATGGGTAAATGGGTAAATGAAATGAAAATGAAAATGAAATGAAATGAAATGAAAAAAACACCTATGAAAATCCTACAGTTAACTTCGTTCCTGATGATAATGAAAGGAACTGAATATTTTTCCCCTACTCTGGGGATTTGAGGCAAGGATGTCTGCTCTCATCATTTCTATTCAATATGTTACTAGAGGTTAGAGCCAGTACAATAAGGTAAGGAAAATAAACAAAAGGCATATAGATTTCCAAGGACAAAGTAAAACTGGTGATTCAAAGAGCAGTGATCTACACTGGTAGTTCTCCAGCTCAGGTCAACTCTATGTCCCAAAGACCAAAGACCTAAGCTTGAAACTCTCCTCTTAGAAGAATACAATCGAAAGTGATCAGCTATATCTAATTGCCATAGTCATCTCAAGACACAGTTCCACATGTAAAGTACCTAACATTTAATCACATTTAATACGAAATCTTTTCAAATGACTAAGCACTAACTCCCAGTGAGTAGTTTTCACTACCTCACTACATTTTAGCAGAGGGCACTGGGATCTGCCATAAAAATTTTAAGGGGCTGAACAGGCAGTAAGTTTACAGGCTGCCTTTTCAACAAAGAAATACAACAATACTGTCTTTCAAAACTGCCTCCTTGGAAGAGAAATATAAGATTACTACATTGGGCTAAGAATTTTTAGAACTCCCCTTTCTGAAGAGTTTTCAAAAGACATGAGCTATACATACATTCTCTTCCACCAAAACACACACACACACACACACACACACACACACACACAAATACACACACACACCAATTTCTAACTAAAAAAGTTATTACTGGTCTCAGGGCCCTCTAGGCAAAGACTACCAGGAGCACACTAGTAATTGAACAAGAGGGGTTTATTACTTGTTGCATTTAGGAAGAACACACACCATGGGAAACCACGCGGTGTCTCAATAAGATGGTGTTGGAAAGAACTGATATAGGATATGGTTTTTGGTTGAATAATCTGGGGGTGAGTCTAAGGAAGCAAAAGTTTGCTCTCAATGGACTGCTGTCAGAAAGTGGAGACAATTCTTAGACTGGGTGTCTCAATATATCTTATCTTTGAGTTAGAGTAACCAAAATTCTAGTCTCTTTGGGAGACAAGAATGAGGCTAAATCTGTAACTAGCAAAGAAGTCACAGTCTCTCACTTTGGTCAAGAGAGGGTGCTTGGGATTTTTCTAAGCGGTAGACTAACCTTGCTTTTGTCTGAGTTTAGAAAAAATTATCAAGTGGCTTTACTTTGTCTTATTTTATCAGTCTCTGAGTAACCTGGCCTGAGGTTGGTATTTTGTGAGATTGAAAAATATGGCCTAATTGCGGGTGCCAGGCCAGCTTCTGAATATTAAGGACTGCTTTTTTTCCTTTTTTTTTTTTTCTTTTCTCATTAGCTTAAAAACCTATTTTCAGACTAGGCTTCAAAAAACCTTTAGATGCTCACTATTAAAATAAAATCTAGTTTTAAAGAACTAAAATGTCATATTTAAGCAAATGCTCCAAAACAGGAGTCCTAGACATTTTGCTCAATAAAGTCCAAACCCCTTTTGTTTGAAAGTTGCCATAATATTTTTTATCATTTGACCCATGATATGTTTGAACCACATATGTTTGGAGGTCTTACTTTAGAATTTTAAAATCTAAAGTATTATCTTTATAATACTCTAAAGATTAATAATCTAAAGTATTATCTTTATAATACTCTAAAGATTAATAATCTAAAGATTATTTTCACAAAATGCTTAATTATTTTTTTCAAAATACTTTTTCAAAACACCATCTCAGTTAACAGTGCTGAGAAATACAAAAGATCAATTTTGGCACCATCGGTGGCTCATCTAAAAAGAGCAATTATCCCAGTAGTCATTCTTCTTACCAGCTGAGAGTCTGGAGAAGGAAAAATCTTGAGTTTTGTCCCATTTTCTTTGTTCTCATTCATCAGTTCCATAAGAATGTAAGATTGTGCCAAGTTCTAAAAGAAAGCAAAAGTAAAAAGTCTTCTGATTCAGCTGTCATATGCCTCTGATTCTATGGAATAAATGGGTTCTTCAACTCTCAATGTCATCTAGCAGAGCAAAAAATAATTTTAAGTTTTAAAAAACCTGACTGAGCACATTTCACATTTAATAGATGTCCATATTATGGACAGAATCACAGTAAAACAGAGAAGGACTTCCGGAAGCACTGTGCAAAAATGCGGCATATGGTATGTAAGCAGCAATGGCTACAGACAGCCTAAAACAAAAAGAAAACGGAAATTTCTAGGCGAACCTTCAGCAGTCAATTGCTAGTTTATAGGTGTGTCAGTAAGTATAAATTAATTAAAGTTATCTTTTACATTTTACAAAGATTCCTGATGGCTCTTACCTGCATGACTGCATTAAAAAAGCAAGTATTTCCTAAATTTGAAATTCCTTTCACAGACGGTACACTGCTGCCCTTTCTTCCCTTCCTTTTTTCACCCGTTTCACATTTTTCCTCACAAAGTTTTAGGATTCTAGAAAATGCACCTAAGTTAGAGAAAACATAACTGACATAAGACATAAAATCAAATATATACATAATAATAATATTATATGTAATAATATATAATATATAATTTGAAATAATTTGAATACATTAATTAAGATTTTCCCCTGAACTGGTGTCCCTGAAGGGCAAGAATACAAACACAAATAAATATCTCCGGTTTGTATCTTACTGCTATATATTTATACCCCATACGACATTGAGGGATATATTCCAGATGAATTACATAGTTAGGTATAAAAGAATAAAGTAAAAAAAAACAAGAAGAAAACATCCAGATTTCTGTTCCTAAATACCATTCCTCACTAAAAGAAATGAAGACTCCTTGAAGAAAACGCTGGTTCTAAACCTAGGACAGCAAAGAAACAAAGTAAGCCTATAACATTTTTATTGTGCCAGAAAATAAGTGCTCAAAAAAAGTAATGAGTAGGTCAAAAATACACATGTGCCATTCTGAACACGTTTCCACTGGTCCACTTTGGGACAACCTGAATATTAAAATAAAGAAGGGTTATAGTAGTTTACTATTCACTGAACAAAATGAGAATGGGTCAGATCAATAACAGGTTTTTCAAATTGGAGGAAAAGGGAAAAACTCTCCCATACAAGAAAATGCCAACTAATACATAGAAGAAATACTGGAATTGTAAAATCACCATATAATAACAATTTTTGTATTGTTCTTGCAACTTTTCTATAAGTTTGAAACAACAAAATAAAAAGCTTAAAAAATTAGAACTACATTATAATATAAAAAGTAAAATGCCTATATGTATGGTATATAAGTACATGTTTGGGGTTCACTGGTTTATATAGTTAATGAAGATATGAAAATTATATCAATTCATCATGTTTCAAAACAATTCAAAAAAGAACAATTTCTAACTTTTACAAACGGACAGGATCCCATCTATTGAACAGCAAATTACTTTCTGAAGCAAAATATAATTTGAGGGGCACCTGGGTGGCTCAGGTCAGTTAAGCAGCCAACTCCTGATTTCAGCTCAGGTCTTGAGGTCAGGATCATGAGACGGAGCCCCATGATGGGGTCCATGCTCAGTGTGACTCTGCTGGAGATTCTCTGCCTCTCACTCTGCCCACCCCCCACTTCTGTTTTCTCCCTCTCCCAAGTAAAATCTATTAAATCTATTTTATATATATATATATATATAATTTGGAGTTGGACAGGAAATTTCCAAGTTCTCAAATCTTTTGGTTTTAACCTAAATATTCTTTTCCTTTTTTTTAAAGATTTTATTTATTTGACAGAGAGAGAGAGAAATCACAAGTAGGCAGAGGGGCGGGCAGAGAGAGAGAAAGAGAAGCAGGCTCCCAGGACCCTGAGATCATGACCTGAGCCAAAGGCAGACGCTTAACCAACTGACCACCCAGGGGCCCCTAACTGAAATATCATTTTTAAATTCCTTTCATCCTTCAGATTTGGTAGTTCTTTGTAACTATGTGTTTTATTCATCTAATGTGACGTACTGCCTTGCACTGCTAATTAATTTTTAAATATTTGACTGTCTCCTCAATCAGACTGATGGAGATCAGAAAATGTCTCACTGCTCTTTCTGCCATAGGGGTGTAATGTTGGGGAGAACATATATAATAAAAATTCAATATAAATGAAAACATAGCGGGTTAAACAGGTTCAGTAGAACCTTACCCTCCATGTTTCTGATGTGTTCTTAAGAGTAAATAAGTTAAGACGGCCCTCCCAACCTGCCCTTCTACACAATAGCATTGAGGGAGAAGAACGGGGCTGGAAGTCGCCCTCTTTTCAGGGACAGAAGCAGAAAGCAAACACCATAAAAAGAAAGTGTAATCTAAGGTAGGACAGACTGATGTCATACACATCCTGTTGGTTCAAATAAAGCTTGACTCAGCACTTGTGACTTTTGCCAAAGAAAAGCCATCAATTAAGGGGGGTTAATAAGCTTTCTAATAAGCTTTTCATAAGGATTAAATGCAGAACGACTATCTGCAAAGCACATGGCAAGGTAAGTGCTATGTAAGTAGGTGAAAACAGCCTGGAGAGTTTCCTCAAAATTGTTACTTGTGCCGAAATCCATACCTTCATAAGCGATCGTTCACGTCCATCGTTTATCTGCCTTCACTTTTTCTTCTCTTTAATCATTTCCTGTAACTTCCTGGGTTTTTGTCCTCAAGCTTAGCTTTTATTTCTAATCGATTTTCGGAATTGCTAATATGAGTTTTGCCTTTTATATTGACTGTGTGGTTTTCATACCTCATTGAGAAAAATGAACAGTGGTTTCTAAGGGTTTTTTTCATTAAGTAAATCTATTGCATGGAAATATTTTTCTTTTTTCTTTTTTTAAAGATTTTATTTATTTATTTGACAGATAGAGATCACAAGTAGGAAGAGAGAGAGAGGAGGAAGCAGGCTTCCTGCTGAGCAGAGAGCGGGATGTGTGGCTGGATCCCAGGAGCCTGGGATCATGACCTGAGCTGAAGGCAGAGGCTTTAACCCACTGAGCCACCCAGGAACCCCGGAAAATATTTTTCTTTCATGTCTTAGCAACTTTTATCCAAGATATAATATTTGCTCATTTTTTCCCTTTGTTCCTGTTGGCTTATTCTTTTTTTCTTTTTTTAAGATTTGAGAAAGTGCACACACACACAAGCAGGCAATAGGGGCAGATAAAGAGAGAATCTTAAGCAAACTCCCTGCTGAGCACAGAGCCTACAGGGGGCTCGATCCCAAGACCCTGAGATCATGACCTAAGCTGAAATCAAGAGTCAGATTGCTTAACTGACTGAGCCACACAAGTTCTCCTGTTGGCTTATTCTTTAAACATGACTGGTTGTTACAGGATGGCTGCTGTCCAGATACTGAGGAGTTGTTTTTGACTCTGAACCCTAGAGTTCTGAATTAACACAGAAAAGAACTAGCAAGATAGATCTCTTCTCCTGTCTTTCATATATTAAAACAAGTAATAATTAAACCCCATACTAGAACTTGGGGGCAAAGGCTGGTGAAATCAATGGAAAGGTTACTCAAGGGCAGAAACCAGGCACACAGAGAAGGAAAAGCAGGAAAAAGCAAGACAGTATTCAAACCTGCAACTGGATGTAAAATGAAAAACGAAAAAAGCCAGTCAGTGGTTAAGAAACACTGCACAAACAAGAGGAGGCCCCGTATGGCCCCTGGCTGGGTGTGCACATGGGAGCCGTCCACCTCTTCATTACATCTGAGATTCCAAGTAGAGCCTAGAATCAGCCGGTCTCGGCTCTCGTTCTTGCTGCTGCCACTAGATGGCTTCATAGTGACTTTGAAGAGATTTCAGATAGAGTAATTAAATCTTTTTAGGCAAGGTTGTTACTCTGATTTTACATTTAAAAAACTCAGTCTCCAACAGGTTAACTGATTTGCCCAAAGTCATAGGATAATCTTTTGATTATAAATCTATTGCCATTTTACCACCTAATTTCTTCTGATTTATGTACAATGAGAAGAATTATAAAAGATAGGAAGGCAAGCATCTTACATATCAAGGTATATACAACCCTGAAAAAAACATGCCTCAAAAGTACTTCCTTCAGTTAACACTGCCAGAATTTTTTTTTTTTTTTTTTTTGCTTCTTAACATGAAAAAAATATTGGGGAAAATAAATTGCAGATGATACTAATGTATATATGTAGTATATATGTCTATATATGTATCATATATATACTATATATGCTAATCCTATATATGTAATATTTTTCATATTTTTGTATTTTAATACATTAATCGTTCACTTGAAAAATACTTCCAGAAATAAATCATATTTTATTCTTACAAGAACAAATAGCATTTTTAAAAACTGTAACGTGCAAATGGTTATGTATCTGTGTACCACATTACCCATCAGTTTTCAAAACATCTGGGATAGCATCCTAAAGTAAACAATGTTCATAAGACCATCTGGACAAAACTGCGGGCAAAAAAAAAAAGCATAAACATATGGAAAAACAGATTTTACCCTTCCCTTCAGCAGTAAGGGATGACAAATGTCGAACCTAGATGTATCCACGCTTCACTGTGCGATGCTTTTCAGCACCACCTGGCTCTCCACGCAGAGCCACCAAATATGGACAGCACTGCCAGAAAGAACATAGCCACAGGGCAATCGCAATCAAAACAGTTTATTTCATGGTTAAATAGCCACTTCACACAAGTGGCAAGGGTCTGTTTATTGACTTCTACATGTAAGTCTGTGAGAGCATATTCACAATTATGCTGTTAGGCTTAAATATTACATAGATCAGATAATTTAACGAGAAAATGAAGTGACATTTTCTAAGAACTATTTAAATGTGCTTAATTTTTTTTTAAGATGTATTTATTTATTTGAGAGAAAGAGTGTGTGTGTGTGTGAGTGCTGAGGGGGGTGGGTGTAGAGAGAGAGAGGGAGAGAATCGCAATCAGATTCCCTGCTGAGAGCACAGCATGACACGGGGCTTGGGGCTCTATCCCAGGACCCTGAGATGATGACCTGAGCTGAAATCAAGAGTCAGACACTTAAATGACTGAGCCACCCAGGCACCCCTAAATGTGTTTTAAAGTGCAAGTTTTTTGTTTTACTAAACAGCACATTTATAAAATGTAATAATTCAAATACAACTGATTTATTAAATTTCTGTTGTCTCAGGCACTATATGAGCCACTATGTGTAAGTGTTTATATTTGAATGCTTATGACTGATGAGTGTAAAGACTGATATACAGCCAACATAGAGATACTGAACCTCAGATTCATAACATCTTAGCAAAACTTTCAGCAATTAAGTATATATGTACATTTGCTCACTAAGAAAGTATCAGCTGAGAATTTAAGATTCTAGTTTAAAACAAGAGTATCTGAACCGCCTGGATGGCTCTGTCATTAAGCATCTGACTCTGCCCCTGACCCCTCAAATAAATCTTAAATAAAACAAGGGTAATCTGAATCAGTTTCTCAATAATTTGACATAC